GTAACAACTTGCACCTGCACTAGGTATTGTCTTAAAGAATGTTGTAACCAGAAGAGGACGTAGACCCCCCCCCCCCCCCCCCTTTTCCGCTGAACATGTTATAAGAGTATGAGATCACTCCTCCTTCACTCTCTTCCCTTCTAAATTATTCTTGCAACAGAGAATTGAAGATTAAAACATGTTTTAGATATTTTTTTTTATCTGCTTGAGGCTTCTTTAGCCTTGATCGAACTTACACCTGGGTGTGTGGGGGGGATTCAAAGTATGGGTGATCATACCCACCCTACAAGATACATTAAATCACAATTTTTTTTTTTTAATTGACAAAAGGATTCTTGAGGAATTCATAGATACCATCTGTTTTTTCATAGGTCAGACTGTTATAAGAGCTATAAAAATTGAAACATGGAAATGGCTGCCAGCGGGCTTAATTTGCTCAAACTTCACAATGAACTTTAATATCAGGCATCTTGTACCCTCACCAAAAGCAACACACTGTTACTGGTATCTAAAATGAAAAATAAGATTTATTATAATGGAATAACACTCCATTTTTTCCATTGCCAGACATCACTACCCCTTCCAATTTCCAGCTCTTTTACAACTGCGCAGCTCATTTCTTTCTGGAACAACATCGGACAGATTTATAAGTTAACTTTAAACCCTGTTTGTGTTAATTCTTTGTCTTTTTTGTTTGTTTTTAGCTGATGAAGGCCTTGTGGCCCAAATGTCTTACCTGTATATTTGTTTATTTTATTGCTAATATAACAGGTTATAAACACCCACTTATTAATAAAAAAAAAAATACTATCTCAAAGCATGCTATATAAAGTATTTGTAAATTAAATTAAATTTTCTTTCATTTAAAAAAATTTAATCATTTAATATGCACATTATATTTAAGTTTTAAAAAATGCAAATTTTTAGGGTTTACACAATGTATTTGGTTTGTCGAAGTTTATTAGGAGAATACGAGCACACTATAAGTGAACACTTTTTAACCCTGACAGTGTTAATTGTAAGATTTAAAGTACTTTTTGGTAAAAATGGAAAAAAAATGTTTAAAAAAACTTAAAGTTTCTGACCCATCAAAATATAGATTTTTTCCTCTTTTGTAGAGTCCCCTTTCTTGTGGAGGCCCCTTGACTGTAGCCCTCGACTTGAATCCTGCCCTGCTTGTATCAACTAAATAACTGATATAACCCAGTACCTTGCATGAGTTGGTTGAGGCCTACTTTGGGCAAGATAAAACCAAATGGCTCTGTTATTTTATTATAGTTTGAATTTTTTTTTTTTACATATTTATTTTTACATGTTTACTGTTTCATTTTTTTTTTCACAGGTGCAATTAAATGGTTGTTTCTAAGTCACACAGTCATATTGATGCCATATCAAGACATTTATGTGTTGTCTACTGTCATAAGTGTCTAGTGTCATAAAAATATTGAGTATTGTTTATGTTAAATGACATTTAAAATTTTAATATAGAACTCTTTTTTTTTTTTTATTAATAAAGACTCTTTAAGAATTCTTTCACCTAATATCAAGTATGGATGACATGGAACAAAACTTGAATGAATGCAGAAATGTTATTAAAATTGAGAAGATAGATTGGTCAGATACTTCGGAAAACAGCTTTACTGGCCAAACTTATGAATTAACTTATGCAGAAGAAGCACAGGTAAGTTCAGTTTTTACATAAGGAATAAAACTAAAGTAAACTATTATTATTAAGTATTATTATAAAATAAAGAAATGTAAAAAATGTGTTCCTTATTTATGATTCTTATGTTTTATTCAGTTGAGTAATGTGTTCATTTTGGATAAGAGCTTAGATATCTCCCTACATTTTTTTTTTTTTTAAATTTTCACTTGAAAATGAAATGCCCCTAATATTTGTTATGAATACCATCTGAGATTTTAAGGGGGAAACATTTTTTTTTTCTAAAGGCATCTGAAGAACCAATTCACTCAAGATCAAAGATGGATGACATGGAACAAGATTTAACCAATGATCTCAAAAATATAATAAAAATTGAAAAGATGGAATCTTCCTCATATTCAGAGACACAAGACACTGGTCATACTTTTGAAGAAGAAGAGACACTGGTAAGACAATTGTAATGTAATACTTAGGAATATTTTTGCATTACATTTTTTTTTACATTTTTTTACAATGTGTACCCTATGTAAATAAGTTTTTTTTTTTTTTTTTTACTTGGATAGATCATATAGGTGAAAAGCTAATTCTCAGGACCTAGTTCTTTCATGTGACAAGGGAGAATAGTGTTCTAGTTAGACAATCTTGTAAGGGCAAGCTTGAACTTCTCTCCCACACATGTGATGTCAATGAGGCTTTCACTTTTCTAATTTAATGACTTGAGTTGGGACAGTATCAACAGGAGACAAAACTTTTCTTCAAGTTGTTGAAAGATGTGAATTTAGTTGACTTCAAGATGTATCTTTTGCTCTCTTAATAACCCAGCAGATTATTTTGTGAGCTGGCTGACCAATGGAGGTATTTTGTCTTGCTGCTTTACTTCGTTCTCCAGCATTGTACCTCAGAATCTTGTTCTCTGTGTTCTCTTGCTCTCTGAGGAAGTGAGAGATTAACTTTTAGACATTGGGCGGGGGGATGGCCCTCAATAGAAAGCTGAAATCCATGGTGTCCACCCTCCACAGAATTGTTTGTTCGTGGTAGATTGTCCTGTAATTGATCTCTAGCATTCCGTAATGCTTTCAGAAATCTTGAAGTCACTCTTCGATTTTGTCTCTGGCGACTGATATAGTTGTCCTCCCAATAGTCATACAAATTCCCTATATCAGGCTAAGCATCATTTAGTTCTTTGAAGGCAGTATTTACATGGGCAGGTGGAACAATGAGATTAAACAAACATTTGATAAGTGATTGCCATCTTAACTAATCCTGATACTCCTAAGTTTGCCAATGTTGCACCCTGGTTTGATTAAAGAGACAAGCATCAGATAATCAAGATATCTGATTAGACTATAGCACACATGTGTAAAACACACATCACGATATACCAAGTCCTTGAACTGGGTCACTACATTTCAAAAATATATTTGTTAGCATATTTGTTATGCATTTTCAACATTTGTTAAAAAGGAAAATGAGATTATATTTTTAAGTACTCTCTTCCTCTGCAAATATGGTATACTTCTAGATCTAATAATAATGAAGACGATAGAGACCTCAACAAAAAATGCTCCCTAGGACTTTCTCTTACTGAAATCCTGTACTTTTATACCCATTATATATTAGTCTGTGCTACTTTATTTGGAAATTTCGCGCTATTTTGTTGGGTCACCTGCACAACATTATGAATGGAGCTATTAAACTGTATGTCAAGATGGCTAAATTGGCTGCTATACAACCAAAGTTATGTACAAATGTTTTCAAACAAAAATTTGAAGGCTAAATTTATTAAATAGTGAAATGAATAGACTATATTTTTGTATGTTCGTGTGTAAAAGTAAAAAATTATCTTTGCAAAGAAAAGATCTAGAATTAGCCTTTGCAAGTTGTTCTGTTCTTCATGTGTGTGACCTTTTGGTGGTGTCTAATGATATTTATGCATATATTGTTATGGCACGATTAGGTATTTGTTATTGGTTTCGTAAATAGGGGAAGTTTGGACTTAGAGACAATGATGTGACTAGTAAAAACAATAATAGAATTTGAGGAAGAATAGCCAAATATCAACCGATGTAAACAGAATACTCTTGACAGCTTTAGAGACAGAGCTTTTTATAAATGTAGAGATTTAGCTTGACTACATTCGAAGCTTCCCTTTGTTATTATTAAACTTCTTGTTCAGTATTTAGTATCAGCTTCAACTACCTTATATTGTTGAACTCTCGCTTGTGTTATTGGGTTTCGTAATTTGAATGTTACCTCTGTTTGGTGTATCTGCATTAGTGACAGCATAGAAGTGCCTAACAATATATATATATATATATATATATATATATATATATATATATATATATATATACATATTAGAAACATATATATATATATTTATTTATATATTTTTCTTTTGGATAAATCTAAAAAGAACTTATGATTAACAATTTGAAATGTAGTACCTGAATTATAAGTACAAGAAATAGCACTGCTAACTGACTAGCAATGCAACTTGACTGTTATCTACTTTTTTGTTACTGACTCAACTGCTTAACTCAAAGCTAACTAAAATACTGACTGAATACTCTGACTACTAAAACTTGACTGGCTCACTTGAGTGCTGACTGGCTTACTTGAGTACTGACTGAATAAACTTAGACAACGTTAGCTGGGTTTACTCCAGCACATGGCTGTTGTTAATACTAATTCACTCAATTGTCAGTTATACTATTAATAAATATATCACAATTAAGAGGTGGCAGTTTATTTACTTTTCTTTTTCTCCAGAAATTAAAATATCTAAATACAACTCTAGTATCAGATAAAATTATTACTATTTTGCTGATTTATTTTATTTTGCAGGAAAAAATGGTGAATCAGAATCAAGAAATGACTTTAAACCAAGATGTGTATGTTACAAACACTCCCAACAAAGATGAGAATGGTGTAAACTTAAAAGATGAGGATCAAATTTTTTCTTTTAGGAATAGATCCCAGAGAAATAAAAAACCTGACCAAGCTCATATAGGTACACAAACATCCTCTACTTCCTCAGAAGTAAAAAAAAAGGTAGTGAATCAGCCAAGAAGAAAGTCAGTTCAATGTAAAATTTGTCAGAAAGTGTTTAATCGGTCCTTTAACCTAAAAAGTCATGAGAAAGTACATTCTGGTATAAAGCCATTTAAATGTGAAGTTTGTCAGAAAGAATTCAGACAGTCCTTTCAATTAAAAAATCATGTGCTAACACATTCTGATGAAAAGCCATTTAAATGTAAAATTTGTCAGAAAGGATTTGCTTACTCTTCTAGCTTAAAATGGCATGAGCAAAGGCATGATGGGATAACATATGCATGTAAAATTTGTCAGAAAGAATTCAATGATCCATCTAACTTAATTATGCATAATAAAAAACATTCTGGTGAAATGCCATTTCAATGTAAAGTTTGTCTGAAAGGGTTTTATCGGTCCCATGACTTAGAAAGGCACGAGCGAATACATTCTGGTATAAAGCCATTCAAATGTAAAATTTGTCAAAAAGAATTCACAGAGAACACTAACTTAAAACACCATGAGCTAATACATTCTGGTGAAAAGCCATTTGAATGCAAAATTTGTTTGAAAAAATTCACTCAGCTTGGTAGCTTAAAATCCCATCATCTAACACATACTGGTGAAAGGCCATTTAAATGTCAAATTTGTCAAGGTGAATTCACTCAGCGCTCTCATTTAAAACGACATGAAAAAATACATTCTCGTAAAAAAAAACTCTAAATGTGACATATTAGAAACATTTGTTCTCTGAATTGTATTTAGAATACCCCTACTGACATTATTTTAAAATAAAACTTTAAATTATTATATTTTTTATGTTTTCTTTATATTAGTAGGATAACTATGATTGTTTCCTTTGGTAAAACATAATTTAATGTTATATAGCACTGACCTTACTTATTTATTAACATTTGTTTATAAAATCCTTTTTATAATGCCTTCTGACACATCATTTTGCCATAAAACTTTTGAAATATCCCATGTATCATTATGACTTCTTTACATTGTTAGGATTAAACTAAAATATTGTTCACTTTAGTAAATCATAGCCGGATAAGACCTGCTGCCTCAGTCAAACTTGAATGTTACCTTCTCATTATTTTATTTTGCCATGAAAATAAAAGTAGAGCTTGAAAATGGGTTTACCCCATCAGCCAACATATCCAATATAAATTTCTTTAAAAATGGGTTTACCTGATCTGTTTAAAAGCTTTGTTATTTAATAGAGATACAGTTAGGCACTTTTTCTCTATTTTTAGGCCCCTACGTTTGTGGGAGGAATATTAAACATACACTATGATCTACGCCATGATGTAAGATTCTTTAATGCTAATTTTTATCAAGATTGGTCTGGCTGTTTGATTTTTATTCAGGAATACACTTACATAGGTTTTACTTTCTGCTTTATGTATTAGATGATTTAATGTTATAATTGCACCGACATAGCTTATTGCATTTTAAAGCTTAAAGAAACTAATCAATGTATTGGATATCTTATATTATTTGTGGGAGGAATATTAAACATACACTATGATCTACGCCATGATGTAAGATTCTTTAATGCTAATTTTTATCAAGATTGGTCTGGTTGTTTGATTTTTATTCAGGAATACACTTACATAGGTTTTACTTTCTGCTTTATGTATCAGATGATTTAATGTTATAATTGCACCGACATAGCTTATTGCATTTTAAAGCTTAAAGAAACTAATCAATGTATTGGATATCTTATATTATTTTAAGATATCACTCACTGACATATATATATATATATATATATATATATATATATATATGGGTGAATGTGTAATTCAAATTTGATTGAATAGCTTTAGTTAGAATGTAGGAGAGAGAATGACAGAAAGCATGTAATAGTTAAGACATTCAGAGGACAGTGTGTATTATTAGGATTGAGAAAAAATCTGTTGTTTTATGCCTCAATATTTATAGTTAGAGTTTCTTTTGTAAACCTGCTATTTAACCTTGTAGAAAGAGCAGAACAGCTGTAACAATTAACATTACTTCCTCAAGAAAAACAAACCTATTAGTTCTGTAACAAGTAAATGACCAAAAAAAAACAGGTTTTTATTTATTAAAAAGAGAAGTTTAAGATTCACATATTTATATCACATTTTTTAAAAATCCAATTTCAATGTATTCTTATATTGTTATGATCTTTATTGTAATATAAATGAGGAAGCATTGTAGATAAAAATAAATCATATTTCATTTTTGTGTCAGGTTCTTCATTTTATAAAATGTCATTTGTTCTAGTATTTATTGAAATGTGTTTATGAAATATAAATTACTGATGAACACATTTTCTTTTCAATAGAAGTTTATTAAAAATATTCAAAATTTTCATATACATGACATTATTATTAGGACAATCTGTAGTGTATAATTCTATTTCATTTTTTTAAATAAAGGTTTCATTATATTAATGCCTTTATTTTAAGTTTACACAGCCACTACCACTGCATTTTAGAAATCATGGCTAAGAAGTTACTTATCATGTTGGAAGAAATAGTGTTATTTATTTAAGTTGTCTTTATGCATTTTATTAACACATTTTTTTTCAGCATTTCTGGAGCAATGACCTGTATTTATTTCAATATTGACTTTAACTTTTAATAGTATATTCATTAATGTATTGTAAATTATAAAACAAGTTTTTCCATTCCTCTAATTTTATAAAATAAAATGTGTCCCAATCAAAATGTACATACCGTTTTATGAAAATAATTGTATCACTTGTACTCTGTAAATTTATTAAGGAATGGTCTTAATAAATTATCATATTTTTTTGTAAAAATTAGCTTTATTCTTTTTAGTGATATACATTTTTATAAAAGCTAATATCAACTGACTACGTCTGCCTGTCTGATTTTTTGTTGTTGGTCTAATTTTATTACAAATTTAAGTACATGAATAATCTACACTAATTGATAAAATTACATTTCGTAAAAACGTTGCTTTTAAAAAAAAAGTCTAAAAAAAGTCAAGATGATAGATTTAGAATATTATTATTAAAAAGGACAATAAAATAATTTTACTATTTGGTTGAGTATCAAATGGCATTAGAAGCAGTCAAACGAAAAAGCTTTACGTGGATGAGATAGTGCAGAATTCCTCCTTCTATATTCTCTCAGATCTACGTACGTTATTATGGCAGCAAGAGGTCGTTTTGTACTGCCTGTCCTATATGCACTACTGCATTATCCCCCTTCCCAAAGAACATTTTTAAAAGAACTTTTGACTATTTCATGTACGCTAACTGTGACATATGGATGGATTGCTGTCTAGTCTTTTGCAATTTTAGTGATCTAACAATAATTAAAAAAACAAATTGGTTACAAAAAAAAAATGGACAAAACTATCTCTTGTTCTGTGCATGATAAATACTTACACGAAACAAAGAGATGTCTCATTCTTTTCAAAGAAATAATACAATGAACGTAAATAATGGGACCAAAACATTACTCGCCAAAACGACCTTCGCACCAAAAATGGCTGTGTTGTATGGAACGCCACCATTTGTAAGCCTTCATGCACTAAGGCCCCGTGCTTAGACAAATCCCATGTTTCACAGTCCAGGTATGACCATGAGATGGAAGAAACTGTGTGGGACAAACTATATGCTAATGGCAGAGCTGAGTTTGTCACCAGTCCATTTCCTTTTTTACACACACACACCCTTTCCATTCATTTGACCAAGATAGACTCAACCTCGGGTCACGGAGGTCATTTAGCTTTTAACTACTGAGGTATTTCACTTCCCACCCCTTATCGCTGGTCACTGAAAACGCCATCGTCTTGATGTGATGTCATCCTGGACGTCTTAGCTAACTTCTGTTCTCACCGCCCTTCCCTTTTTACTATTAAGACTTTTTGTTTTCTTTCCCCCACTTTCTCTTCCCTCCCCTCGTCTTGACATTCTTTCATTGTCTCCCCTACCTATTACTTACCCTCCCAAATTGTGAATGTGATTGTTGTGCATCTGTGTGTGTCATATCGTATGAGTGTGACTTAAATAACCCACATGTGGTGTATTGCTTAAGTGATAAAAAAATGTGAGGCCTAGTAGGTCAGAAATGTCTTTGTTGGTTATGAGATAGGAACACTATGGATATTCAGCGGAGTAGAAAGAGAAAGTGGGCATTGTTTTCTTATTGAACTTCCAGCCCTCCAAGCAGCAACATTAGAATAAACATGCAGTATATTACAAATATAGTAATAATACTAATTTCCTAATTATCGCCAACTATTAGAATCCATTCGTCCAGGTACTACGCAATGTTATAGATATCTTGTGTTTTGACTGTTATATTATCAATTAGGATGTAAAAACAACACTGCTGTTTAAATTATAACTCCATTTTTATTGACATGACAAGAAAGTGAAAAAACTAACAGGAGACTTTAATCCACACTAATAACAGACTTGAGAAAAACATGCGAGCACGTGAACATATTGAACAGTAGGACAAGGGAGACAGGTAAATAAACACACACACAACATACATACACATAAATACATATAAATGTAACATCCTCCGGTGTTTGAGGTTAGTCATACACATAGTCATTAGTTCTTGTGGATTTGACCACTCGGCCTGACCTAGTTGTATAGGTTGTCGACCTATGAGACCCGTCTTCTATATGGCTCTCAGGTCTCTGAGCAGTACTTTCATCTGTGCTGGGTGCATCCACAGGTGCTGGATTGTCAGGCTCGGTCGTACCTGTTGGTGTAGGCGCATTCGTTTCAGAAGGCAGTGGGATTCTTCGTAAGTGAAGTCTATTTCGACGATAAATTCCTCCGCCTGATTCAACTTCATACGAGCGTTGTTGTAACTGACGAGTTATAACTCCCTTTTGCAAGCGCTCATGGCCACGCGACTTTAGTCTCACCTCTTCACCCTTAGCAAGGGGAGGTAAATCTTTAGCGTGGGAGTTATAGTAAATTGCTGATCTCCTCTGGTTTTCTTTCAGCGCTTTCTATGTTTCTGAGGATCTAGAACTTAAGGTTTCAACGGGCTTTTAGCTATAGGCAGCAAGGTTCTGATTCTCCTGTTGAAGAATGCCTGTGATGGGCTAGTACCAGTTTTATTCGGGGTGCTTCTCTATGATTAAGTAAAGCCATGAACTGATCTTTATTTTTAAGAAATAATGTCTTTACAGTCTTCACGGCTGATTCAGCTTTCCCATTTGATCTGGGATAGTGGGGACTGCTCGTCAAATGGTTGAAACTCCAATCATTGGCGAATTTTGCGAAGCTGTCCGAAGATAGCTGAGGTCCATTGTCAGAGACCACTGTGGATGGGATAGCGAAATGGGCTTTAAGTTTTCTTATGACAGTTTCTAAACTAGTGTTCTCTAGACGATCAACTTCGCAGAAGTTACTGTAGTAGTACACACACACAAGATAGTCTTTGCCGTCAAGTGTGAATAGATCAACACCAACCCTTTCCCAGGGGTGTGTGGGAACTTCATGATTCATTAAAGTCTCTTTCTGTTGATTGGGTTG